ATGAGTACCTTCATTATTGACTTCAATGGGAGGTGTAGAAGTACAGATTCTTGGTAGAGGAATTAGGTCTAAGATGCACTCCCCCTGACTTGTGACTTCATGTGATTTGCTGAAAAAAGGGTTAGCTTCATGGAATCGTACATCTTTAGATACAATTATTTTTCTTAGTTGAGGATCATAGCACTTATATCCTTTTTGTGTTGATGAATAACCAAGAAAAATACATTTGAGAGCTCTAGGGTCCAACTTATCTCGATGGTGTGACTGTATATGAACAAAACAGACACAGCCAAAGACTCTAAGATGTGAAAGGTCGATTTTTCTTCCTTTCATGACTTCAAGTGGAGATTTAAACCCCAAGACTCGGCTAGGAAGTCTATTGATGGTGTACACAGCCGCCATGACTCCTTGTGACCAAAATCTCTTTGGTACGTTCATTTGTAACATTAATGCTCTCGTTTTTTCCAGAATGTCACGATTTTTCCTTTCAGCTACACCATTTTGTTGAGGTGTGCCGACACAACTTGTTTGATGCATGATACCATGCTTGCTCAAATATAATGACATGATATGGGACATATATTCGGTGCCATTGTCAGATTTTAAGGTTTGAATTTGAGAGGAAAAATGGTTCTTAACAAGATTGTGAAAATCCTTAAAAACTTCAATCACTTCACTCTTAGACTTTAAAAGGTACAACCATGTGGCTCTAGAGAAATCATCGACAAAAGTTACATAATACTTATAACCATCAAAAGATTCAAACGTTGGTCCCTATACATCTGAGTGAACTAGTTCGAAAACTTTACTAGTCCTAGATAAGGATGAGGTAAAAGACAATCTGGTGGCTTTAGACAAATGACATGTTTCACACGAAATTAAATCATTACCTAAGTTTGGAAACAAGGAAGACAAAACAGGTTGGGAAGGATGAGCTAAACGTTGATGCCACAATTGACTATCTTGGGATGGACTGGACTTGGCTTGAAATCCTCTGGGACTGTTTTTTGATATGTAATAGAGGCCATCTAGGTAAAACCCTTCACCAATCGTCTTCTTGGTGAGGCAATCCTGAAAAATGACATTGTGAGGAGAGAAAATGGCCAAACAATTTAAGGTATTGGTGATTTTTCCCACAGATAGAAGTTGAAATGGAAAAGAAGGAACAAATAAGGCTACTGACTCAATTTGTCCGATATTAAGTTGATATTTCTCTTCCCTAAAACCTTAGAACTCTCACCATTGGCAGTTGAGACTTGAGACGGTTTTGAAAATTTTTCAAACTTGTGAAACTTAGAAACATGGTTGGTCATATGATATGTGGCACCCGAATCAACAATCCACAAATCATGCATCATATTTACATTAAGAGCAGTTTTAAAAGCAGTCATGATACCTTGCATGTCATCTTGGGCCATGTGTTGTGTTTCTGTCAGAAATCCAGCAAACTTGCCTAGCAAAGCTATTGAATTTCCATCTTCAAAGCCGACCGTTTGGTCACTCTTAATCCTTTCTTTCTAGCTTTGAAGATACACTGCAAACTCATTTATGAGTGCAGCTGGATTTGCAGTAAAGCTCTTGAGTGCATCAGACCTATGAGAGGTTGAGGTAGTTGCATTGTTGGCTCTATGTGGTGCACGGTTCAGTCTTTGTGAGCCCTTGTTATCCTTCATGAACTCTGGCTTTAATTCTGGATGTAAAATCCAGCATGTCTCCTTAACGTGACCAGTATAGTTGCAGTGTTGGCACTTTAAGTGTGGATTCTTCACTTTGTATTTTCTTTCGTTGGCTAGATAAGCCCTTGCTTCAGTTACACTGGTCTTTGTGCCAGTGTTCATGACTTTCCTTCGTACTTCTTCACGTTGGATTGTTGCACATACGCTGGTGAAGGAAGGTAGTTCGGGGTTCATAAGCATGTGGCTTCGTAGGTCTTCGTATCCTGGATCGAGACTTGACAAGAGTTGGAATATCTTGTCTTCTTCTGCCCTTTTCAGTAGTAAAGACGCCTCAGTTGTGTGAGGCCGATACATTTCCAGCTCATTCCACATGCTCTTCATGCTGCCTAGAAGTTGAACAAAGGGCTTTCCTTCTTGTTGTATGTTGGAAATGTTCTTCTTCAATTGAAACACACGTGCAACATTGTTCTGACTGCCATACATCTCCTTGACTGTCTCCCATAGTTTGAATGATGATTCAGAATAACTGAATATTTCAGCTAGTTTACGTTCCATGGAATTTAGGAGCCATGACATAACTAGCTGATCCTTGCAAAGCCAGATTTCATAAGTTGGTGAAGAAACATCAGGAACTTTGATGCTTCCATTTATGAACCCTAGCTTGGACCTTCCACCTAAGGCAAGACTCACTGCTCTCGACCAAGGTAAGTAATTAAACTCATTTAACAAGACCGAGCTTAATCTTTGATTTGGATTGACATCCACCTCAGACACGGTTGAGGAGGAAGGTATCTGGGAATCTCCAAACGAATAAGAATTCTCTTCCGCCATATGAAGACGATTGAGCAGTGGAGATGGTCCGAAATGCAAGGTCTTGAGCTGCTGTCTGATGCTGTCGATCCTTTTAAAAACAATCCACCAGCAAACCCATCAAACCCAACGGCAACAACATCAACTCCCCAGAAGGCAACAACATCAACTCCCCAGAAGGCAACAACATCAACTCCCCAAAGGGCAGACAGAATATTAGGGCTTTTCTGAAATTTCCTCTCAGTCCACCTTCCTTCTCTCTCTAGAAAACCAGCTTATGCAATTCAGATCAAACCCATTTTTCCGATTTTGCAATTGGAGAAGCTGCTGATCTTCCCCAACAGTGTTCAATTTCTGCTGCTCCTTAGATCCAACTCAGGACCCAGAAGAATCTCGGTGGGGTTTGGGGGAGCTCAGGAGTGGTGGCTCTTTCTCTGTGCACGTATCGCTAGGGCTGGATCTAAGCAGCCATGGCGTTGTCAGGCATGCGAGGCCTCTCTTTTTTCATCAGCGACGTTCGGAATTGCCAGAACAAAGAGCAGGAGAGGCTCCGGGTCGATAAGGAGCTTGGAGTTTTGAGGTTGGTGAGGATCCGAGAGAGGGACGAGCTTGAAACGGCGCGTTTTGGTGAGCTCGGCTGATGGGTGAAAGAGTCTGAGGATTTTCAACCCGAACGGGCAGACAGAATGGAGAGCTCCGAGCCCAAAAAGGACTCCACCGGCGGCGGCGACGGTGGAGAAAAGCCGGAGTCTTTACCTGCAGTTCAGTTCAAGGAACTCTTCATATTCGCTGATGGGTTGGATTACGTTCTGATGGTAATTGGGTCAGTCGGAGCTGTCGTGCATGGCAGCTCTCTCCCCATTTTTCTCCGGTTCTTCGCCGATCTTGTTAATTCTTTCGGCACGAATGCGAACAATATGGATAAGATGATGCAGAAGCAGGTTATTTTTCCTGCTCTGATACCATATTGAATTTTTCTGATTTGAATTGTAATATATTTCATCATAAGAAAGCCTTATGGGACGGCATACTTATACACAATTGGAAGAAAGCTTCGGATGCAACAACACACATCCAGCAACCTCCCTGCTGTCCATGAGTCAGCAATCACATGCACACCCTTGCTGTCTTGCTGTGTGCTGTCTTGCTGTCTGTAACAGCACATGCTTGCCGTGCTGTCTGTAATAGCACCCATGCTTCTTCCAAGCTGTCTTGCTGTGTGCTGTCTGTAACAGCACATGCTTGCCATGCTGTCTGTAATAGCACCCATGCTTCTTCCAATAAAAGGATTAGAAGAGATCCTCACCAGATCCTTTTCATGGGGATCCTAGGGATCAAATAATTTTAGCCGTTCACGTAAAATCGTGCGGTTGAGATTACTCTACCTTTCAACTTTCTCCCCATTCTCTCTCCGCAGGACCGTAACATTCTTGCCTTCTCTCTGGCAGGTGATCGAGATTCTCTATCAGCATCAAAGGACCAAATCCACGTCCCATAAAAATTTCCACAACTCACTCGAAAGCGCAACCTTAGCCATCCAGTCGAAACTCTCGATTTAGTCTCCATTGGAGCGGAACTCAGGAGTTTTTGGAGAAATAAAATTTCTAATTATTTGGTTATGTTCTCAATCATAGATATACCTCCCCCCCTCTTGCTGTTGAATCTTGACTTTAGGGGGTGTGGCGTTTGCCACTTGGATTTGTAAGCAGAGGACTCTGAAAATGGTGGATTTGGGTGGACTAAGAAAAAGGTGAAGTTGAAGCTTCATAACAAATCCATGGTCGTGTTCACCATAAAGATGCAGCGTGAGGGAGAGAGTTCTCAGCAGTGGAAGAATATTGACTAGAAGGCTGATAGAAAATCTCGATTGCCACCGACGAAGAAGGCAAGAATGTTGAAGAGAAAGAGAGAGCGATAAAGTTGAGAGGAAGACTCATCTCAGCCGCACATTTTACATAAACACTAAGATGATTTAATCCCAAGGATCCCCAAGGAATGGATCCGAAGAGGATCCTAATGTGGACAATGGAAGTGTTGACATAATTTCGTAGAGTCACAAGATTGTCTTGCTGCTTGAGACTTTCTTTTCAACTTAATGTGTTTCGGGTTTAAACTCTTCTCCCTCTTCTTAATGTAATGTAGAACATGATTTGTACTCGAAAAAACTTCATATAGAGTCATATTACGGGAGTGAGAGGTGTAATGACTAATTTTTAGTAATAATAACAATTGTCTAAAACTATCATAAACTCTAATGACATTAAGCATGTAATTCTTTTTGGTGTTTTTTTTTTTTTTTGGGGATAAAAAGTGATATATCTATTTCTTTTTGTTGCTAATGTGTTTTACCATAAAATTAGCTATTCTTTTTCTTCCGAAATCAAACTTTATTCTTTAAAATATGATCATATGGCAATAATCATTTAGTCTAATGACGTTCGTTCTCTCCTTTTGTTGAAAAAGGTTATTAGCTCAAAATTCATTAACGACAATTGTTAACTAATACAAAACAGGGAATCCGAATCACAGATTTCACTGACCAACCTCAAATTACATAACACAACACAATTTCTAAACGTTCACATTGCTTAACACAAATGTTTCAGTGTCGCTTGCAACAAAAATTATAAAAAATAAAAAATAAAAAGAAAAAGGAAAAAAAAATCAAATAAATTAGTTTAGGGAGGAAGAGTCCATAGGATCCTTCCTGGATTGATTTTTCTTTTCGGAGTTCTTCATCTTTCTTTTGCTTGAGTCGTCATCCTGTTTATATCTGAAAACAATACGACCTCTCGTGGTGTCGTACCGACTGACTTCAACCTTAACTCTGTCGCCGATCAAAATTCGAATGAATTTCTTTCGGATTTTCCCAGAAATGTAGCCGATAATGGTGTCCCCGTTGTCTAATCGAATTCGAAACATACCGTTGGGGAGTGACTCCGTCACCATCCCTTCTTGGCTGAACTTCTGTTCGTCCACTCCCGGCGATTTGCTCGCGGCGACAACGTTCGAAAACCGTCTGGTGCTGAAGAGGAGGTGGTTTCCGACCGGACAGTGCCTGCTGCTGTTGATGTTGATGTGGAGATGGAACTGGGGTTTTTGGACTGGTTGGAAATTGAGAGTTGATGGGGTGAGGGTGAGGGTTAGGGTTTTGGAGTGGGGAGGGGGAGTGTGGTGGAGGATTGGGTGGCGGAGGGAGGATGATGGCGAGGTTAACATGGCTTTTGGTGGTGGTGGTGTTCTCTTTTGGTGTCTGTTATGTGGGTGGAGACAGAGAAGGGGAGGAGGTAAAGGGATTGGCTTCGGGCTTTTTGAGGATTGTATTGAGTAAATATTGTTTACGAGCGTAAATATGTAATTCATAATTTTGGGTCCCATATGCTGATCTTGCTGACCACCTTGGCAATAACATTTTGTTTCAGATAATGTTAGGAAGATCAAATTTGTAAAGAAAATAATATCATTAATAGAAAATAAACACGTTAATCAACATTTAAGTAATAAATCCAATCATCAACATCCACATCATTTGATTTACAAAATTTGATTTAGAAATTTGGTCTCCCTAGTACTATTCGTACGTTTCTTCCACTAAACTTGAGATTTGCTTTCAAGGAGATTTAGGGTGAAACTGTTTGATGAAATGCCTCATGCATGAAAGCATACACGTCTCAATTTATGCCTTTTGCATGTTTGACTATTTGGTCCTTACTTAAATTGATAACATAACACACATGTGAATCATTTTTCAGTTAGCACTACATGGAAAAAAACTAGTCATAATAGAGTTTCTCCTCAACAAATCGCACGTTGTGGTCTTGGCGCAGCTTAGAAACGGGTCACATATTTACTACATCATTAGTTTTACGGAGTTGTCATATTGTCAAATAAATGAGAGACATCCAAACCAACAAGAAGAAAGAAAAATGAATAGAAGACATAAATTGGTACGATATCAAAATTTTGTGAGAAATTAAAACCCCACGATCCATTTTGAAAATCACTTAAAACGTGGAGGGTTTAAAAATGTAATTAGTAATGCACAACTTTGGACGTATTAAGTCTGTTTTGATAAAAAGTAACAAAGCACTACAAGGAGTTAAGATCATTTATTCTCCGCTCGAGGGCTTGTAGCTCAAAAAATCTTTCAATGCAGAAGAATTGTGACCAAAATTAAAAAGTCTAGTGAGGAGAGATAACACCATTTCAAATTTTCAAGATTCGACAAGCAACAACACCTAGCTGATTGTTCGTTGCATACTCTGATATTCAACTGTATTGGGATTAAAGGGCCTCCGATACCAGGGATTGCTAATGTCTCCCAATTCCACTTGAACTCTCATAAGTTGTGTGTTCTCCGAACACTCAATAGCCTTCAACGGCAAAATGCGAGGCAAATCAGAACCAGCAAATGGAGTGCAGTTCTTTGCAGAAAGGCAATGGCTAGAATATTTGATCTCCAATTCAATGTCTTCTTACTGTTGAAAGTACTGAACAAACTTTCGCTATTGGCAAAGAAATTGGGTGAATATTTCTTCCACCAGAACAACTGTTACCAGATTTATTTGACACCAAAGAGTACTCGTAATTTATACGAGGAATCATCAAATTGAGACGGGTCCAAAATACTTTGGATTGCTCTCAGAACTCATCGAGCTCTCTAAGGTTCCAGTAATCAAACTAGTAACACTGGTGGAATTCATGACATTATAAAGCTTAAGAACAGCGGGATAATAAAGCCCACGACCATGTCCCAAGTAATTAGAACCTAATCCATCCATGCAAATCTTCCCAGAAGATTCTGACCAGAACCCACTTAGTTCAAAGCTTACCGAACTAGGTCGAAGACTTTTTGAGACATTTCCCACATAGTCAAACAAACTGCTTCTTTGAAATCGAAGACTTCCTTCAATCATGAACAAGCCTGGTACATAAGTTGTTTGAACACTCGAGGGGGTGAACTCAATTGAATTTTCGGGCTCGTGATAAGGCTGAATGATGATCTTTGACTAAGAATTCCACTTCCACCGGTGTAGTAACCTGTATGGCTCTTGAGAATTTGAGAACCTACATATCCACTTGGCGTTGCCCGGGGAACATTTGAATCACAATGATCAGAATAAGATATGTGATTGTAAGGTGGAGAAGGCAATGAAACTGGATTATAGAAGTAATCAGAATGTGGTGGAAAGACGATGAAACGGAGGGCAAAGAAAATACGGCAAAAACAGAGAAGAACATGAGAAGTTTTGGCAATGAGTACCACATCTTCAAGATACGGTAGCAGAAGACTGGTGTTTCTTCATGTATATTGGGAGAAAGATGAACAAGAAGAAGAGCAAAAAGAAATTCAATGTGAAAGTATTGCAATGTTTCGATTGTTTTATGTACTTTCCATAGTCTGTATTACTGCAAATACGGATTATGTATCACAGTCGTTGTCGTGACAATACGAAGAGAACAAAGCTAGCTGATGACTCGGTTTTCATAGACAACTAGAACAAATAAAACCCAGGACAGTGAAACCCAAGCTGCATTTTGTTTTCTCATTTGTGAATGCTAAAAGGATAAAAATAAGAGGACAAAGGAAAAGGAAAATATACGAAATGCTAATTGCTGTCCAAAAACAAGCTTCTCACTTCTTGCACTCCTGAATGGCGCCCGAGAAGTTCTTGTCATCAAGATACAACTCGCAAAGAAGCTGCAATTGACCGATCTCAGTAGGTATAATATCACTAATGTTATTGGACGTTATGTGTATTGTTCCCGGAAAGTTAGCCAGTCTACGTGGCATAAAAATTCGATTTTTTCTTACGACACCAAAGAGAGGAATTTCAAATTCATAATTGTCTGCTTGAGAAGCATTCATCATTAGCATTGGTAATCTACAAAGTTGTTTTGAAAATTCACCTGAAATTTGGTTGTATGCTAGATTCACATAAAAGAGTTTTGGAAGAGTCCCCAACCAACTTGGAATTGTACCTGTGATTTGATTATAACCCAGATCCAACACCTCGAGATTCTGTAGGTTTGATAACCACCCAGGTATCTAACCATTGAGCCCACAACCAGCCAAACTCAAGACACGGAGATTCTGAAATCCATGAAAATCAATCATGTCATCAACAGTTGGCATTGTCTCGCGATCAAATGAACCGGTAAGGAGGAGTGTATGAAGACTTTTGCAACACATTAATATCTTCATTGCCACTGTGATATTGGTCAGCCGTACATAAACAAGCGAAAGAAAGGACAAGGATTTCAACAAAAGAATCTCAGGTTGTGTTTGTCCTTCTAGATAAGGATTTTCACTCAACCGAATTGCTTTTAGGGACCTGCATGAGTAAAGGCTTATTGGAAAGATACCAGTGAAGTTATTCCAAGATAGGTCAAGTTTACTAAGGCGACTGAGTTTGGAGAAATTAAGCTTGGTGAGGTCGCCTTCCAAATAATTGGATTCCAAATGTAGTTCTACAAGGTTTGTGCAATTCATCAAAGATGGGGGCATATTACCTTGTAAGCTGTTAAAATCAAAATTCATGAATTTTAACTTGAATAGCTTCCCAAAATTGAGAGGGAGCACACCATTCAAATGATTTGAGTTGAGGTCAAGGATTGTCAGGTGGGCGAGGTTGGCGATTCTTTCACTAATGGCTCCATTTAGTGAATTGAGAGGTAAAGAAAGTTCCTCAAGTTTGGTAGCATTATAGATATCTTTTGGAAGTGATTTTGACAAATTATTGTGACCGGCACGAAGAATCTGTAGTTTGAAACACCCACCGAACCCAGGGGAAATGTTGCCACTAAATTCATTGGAGGAAAAATCCAATACTCTTATGGAAGGATGCAATCGGAGACAGACAGATGATGGGATATGCCCAGAGAAGGTGTTGTTGCTGACATTGAAACTAGTCAAATTCCAAGCTTGTTGGAAGAAAGAAGATGGAATTGGACCATGAAAGTGATTGCTTGACAAATCCATTGTCTAAATATTTTTGGGTGGTAGAGAAAATGATATCTCTCCAGAAAGAAGGTTATAGCTCAAATCAAGGATCTCGAGGCATTTCAAGGACGCGAAAAATTTAGTTTCAAGTGTGCCATAAAGTGAATTGTGCGGAAGGTTCAAGTGGGTGAGATGTGTGAGATTCCCAAGTGATGAGACAAATATACCTCCTTTGAGCCCTTTGGAGGGTAAGAGCAAATGGGTGACCCAACCCTCTTGATTACAAGTGATGCCATTCCAATGACAACAATCAACAGAACTACTCCAATTTACGGAAAGAGAAGATAGAGTGTGAGCTAAGGCCAGAAATAAGGTGTGTTCAGCTTGGTTGCATGCATGAATATTTCTTGTAGATATAATGCAAGAGAATAAAAAGAGGAGGATGAAGCCATGAGCCATTGTTTTAACTTAGATATCGCTTAAGAAGAGGAAGAGGAGGAGGTCTGCATATATACAAGCAATACCAATTTATTATAATTGGTTGTTTTTTTTTAATTATTATTATTTTCATTTTTTAGCTTTGAATTATCCAAACCCCAATATACGTTTGAAGAGAATTTGCACGGCATGAAAGAAATCAAAAAGCAAAGACGTTAGTAGGTCATGGAATTGAGAGGGGGCCGCACATGAAAACAACTAAACAAAACTAAAGGGTAAAAAGTTGTTTTGTCACTGATATTTCTTGTTACTTATAAGTAGGACGTTTTAAATTTGACTCGTGTAAATACAATTCATTATAATCGCATTGCAAACAGCCAAACTATGATAATTGGCAAACAACACCGTATGAGTCAAGTCAGTTGATTAGGTCAATGTGCTCATTACTTTTAACCCAAATTTATATATGTTCATTAACTAAAGTAGATTAGAATATCGCTTAGAAGAGATGCAAATAACTTTGTGAAATGTTGTTGGTTCTGCAACAATTCTGCAGATGTCTCGCATTCAAAATTTATTTTTGTACTTGTGCTTCTCTCTTTGTCCTCCTTTTTTACACTGTCCTAACTAGGTTTTCTTTTTATTTTCTATTCGAAAATCTCTAGAAAGTTTCTATGCCAACTCAAGTTTTTTATTAAATCTTCTCAGAATCTAGGGGAATTGTCTATCAGTGCAGAAAGATGATCGAAAATACATCGAGTACTAGGTTTCATTGTGTCCTCGAGACATATTTGCATTAACTCCGTCTCCGTCACGCACCTTTTTCACTCTCGTGATGAAGCAAATATTGTTTTCTTGTCTTATAGAAAAGAAAAATGAAAGTGCACGTTACAAACAGAAAAAAATAAATAAAAATAAAAGATAAAAATAAAAAAAGCAAAACTTATTACATCCTCAAATAACAAGAGAGAGATTAAAATACGCTTCAGTAACAGTTGGGACGTTCTCCTATCACCCAACTCTCTCAACTTTGGGGGGAGAATGCAACGACCCCAAACTTCTGCTGCAAGAAAATGACGCCAGCAAACAGCAGACCCCCAAAAGGAATAATCACGTCCCAAGCAGTGGAGTCAAAATCTACTGCAGGACTTGCATACAGGTATGACTCGTTGAGTTGGCGACGAACAGAGTTGTGAGCCCTGTAAAGATCGTATGCATGTGGCTGTGCTCGAACAAAAGTTGTTCCAACGTAGAACGAACTGGATAGATCATTTTCCTTGATTTGCAGAACATGTTGAGCCCAATTTGAGGCAGCAAAAAACCGTCCAAAACCAAACCGGCGTAACGTTTGAAGGCAATGCTTAAAATTGAGTGCTCGGCATAGTAGCTCTCCTTACTAAGGCGAGATCAACTGGCTTTTGGATTTCAGTAATTTTAGTTGCCCGAAGTTCTTCCCTTCGTAATTTTTCCTGCAAAAATCTGGATCAACGTTGAGGTGTCACGCTAATTCCTGAAACCATTTAACAAAGGAAACCCAAATACCAAGAAGCTTAGACAAAGTGACGAAGAAATGGGTCATAAAAAGTCAGATAAGAAGGATTAGAAATGCATTTACATGAGCGTTATAATTGCATGTAAGAGAAATTTGCATATGACTATTTGGAATGTGTCATTTACAAATTTCTTTCACAAACCATTGCAATGTTCATGCGGTGCATTTCTAAATCTTCCTCTTTAATTTTTTTGTGATCTATTTCTTCCTCATTATCTTAAATCGCGTGAAATTCAAAAGTTCCTCATCCAAACATATCTTTAACTTTCCGACTCATATCCTCTTTATGCAGTTGGTTATAACATTCTAGCATACAAAACACTTGTCATAAAAAGAATAATAAAAAATGATGACCATAACCATATCAATGTACGATCAAAATTGTGCTTTTACATTTAGTTATGTTTATCATTTCTTATTCAATCATTTTGTTTATCATTTTTTATCCAATCAATTGTGAATAGTCTTCACTGACTTGGAAAATCTAGCATTACAAGACTACCAAGTCGGTCTCATGAGTCATGACGATAAGACGATGTTGCCATTTAGCTTTTAATTGGAAGGGAGGGACCAATTAAAAGGCAGGACTTGATAAGCAGACAAAATCTTTATTTCACTCAGTCAACGTCAACCTTCGCTCGAAAAAATCAACGGTCATAGCGGATTAAGGAACACGATAAAAGAATAATAAAGCAAAAATTATGTACGAGCTTGTCTAATGATACTTCTTTTCTTTATAATGAAGGAGATTCTGAATTCGTAACTCATTTTTCTAATCAATTAGAAAAAGAAAACTTGTTGAGATTAGTCTTCATTGACTTGGAAAATCTAGTCTTGTAAACTTTTTGAGGTTAGCTCAAGTGACGGAGATAATTGAAAAACTTGATAGCCACTTCCATAATTTACATTTCTTTGAATTCCAACTGCAAAACGTCATCCATATGCAGTTACAAATCCAGTCACCAAGAATCAGATAGTATATTTAATTAGGATGCTGGATTCAACCGAACCAATTATTAATTAGGGTTAATTAGGACTAAATTTAGATTCGAGTCCACAGCTAAAACACTATCCCAAATTATCATTGTGATAAGTCGAAATTGGACTTCCATTCAATTTAATTACTTATAAATAATAATCAAACCCAACCGTATGGTTCACTACATCCTACGAAAAAGTGACACTCTTTATTTTTTCTTTTTTTTCTGAACAACTGATATTATCTACACTAAAAGGGAGGGGATTGGCTTATCCTCACAATGGGCTAGCAATAATTAGTTCAAATTTGCTTTTGGTAAGAATCAAACCTAAGACCTCTCACTTACAAGTAAAGAAAAATACTACTAGACCGTAGTACTAAGTGGCGAGTGACACTTCTCTTTTAGCTTCGGACAAAATTGATGCTCGCGATGATTGTCTAAAACTAGTATCCACAATTCTACTTTCATGGATTCCGGCGAGTGGTGGTCTCTGCGGCTGGATCATGTAGGTGCAACCCCCCTCCACTCACTTTTGTGCCTCTATTCGTACGTCAATTGTTCGTGTACATTAGGGACCAAAATGAGAAGGGAGTTCAATTTTAAGGGCAACATTGATTAAAGTTGGAATTGAGGGACCAAACCGTCTTCGTACTGTCACGCCCCGGATCCGGGGTCGGTAATAAAAACTCGAACCCAAATCCGAAACGTGAGTTAAAAGCTCAATAAATAAAAGAAAATTGACACATGTTGGAAAATGAACTCCTCTTATTAAAATAATTCATGATTCTTAAATAAATCAAGAATTCTTTACAACCTACAGTAAATAAATGAATAAACTTTCTCTACTTTGATCTCATCCTGCCTACCCTCTTAAATGTCTAGTTCGTAAACCTACATAACAATAGAGGGATGAGCTTCAATAGCTCAGTAGGGACATAACCTTATCACAGTAAATTGACAATATTAAATTAAGTGTCATGAAATCATATAGCCAAATATATAATCATAAATGACAACAATGCATGAATGCAATGCAACCTCTTCAGCTACCCTCATTAATTTATATAATAAAACACGTGGACCTGCACGTCCCATACCATGCATTTTACCCCTGCAAAGATGGTTCGAATGTTTTATTATAGAAACTAACCCCCATATGATATCCCAAGTTCATAAACCCCTTTTGCTAGTCATCTTATCTAATTCATTAATCTCCAACTCAAATCACCCACATCGACAATTCTCGTCGATCTTATTCTAATGTGCACACCAGGGCTTGCCTAGAACTAGTTTCACAATAAATAGATTCAACTACACAAAAGATCATTTCCAACTACCCTCATTTCCATACTTCCAATCTAAACATTGAAATTCCAACCACATCAACATGAATGATGCACAAATAACATCATTTTATCTTTCACATGTATCACAGTATATTCTCAACGAATAACATTTCAGCAATAATTCCATGACCAATAACAAGTAAACATTTAACTAAAGCAATTAGCCAATTAATATCCAACCACATTAATCAACCAAAAAGATCAAGAATATTATAACACTTCACAAATTTTAATAAAATCAATTTCCGTAAAGGTTTGCTGTATTTCCCCTACCTAGATTCCAAAGATAAAATAAAGATCCACGTCACTACCGGCATAGCTAAGCTTCACATACTCATCCACGTCACTACCGAAATAGTTAAGTTCCACGTACTTGAGGAAGCTTCCTGATCGCTCCTAACACCATATATTTCTTCTACTTTCTTTTATTTTCTAATCTCTCTCTATATATATGTGCGTAGGTATGAACTCTGAAATGTATTTTAAAAAATGTCACGACCTCATAATAATTCCTACCATCTTCATATAAAGATCTTTTCGATAAATAGTTTTCAAATAATTCTCTTATTTGGTAATAAATTCTTGGGATCTCATAGTGCACTTTAATTGCTTGCTTTTTTTTTTTTTTTTTTTTCGTTAAGAGTGGATGACTACAGAGCCAATAATGACTATTTTGGTGTGTCAAGCCAATAACGCCTTTTGCCTTTCAAAATTGTGTTGGAC